ATCTCCTACATAAAAAATAAATTTTATTGTTGGGTTGATGATTGTATGGATTGTAGGAGTTTGAAATTTTTTAACGGTTTAATTTTTCTAGATTCTTCTGCCACTTTTTGGTGGTGGAAAATGGTTACAGGGTGCGAAAGATGAAAGGATTTTTTTTTTGCAAGGGGAGTCGGGGGGAGGGGGGAAATAAGTAGAAATTTCTCTCCTTTTTTTATTAATAAATATTAAGTGAAATTTATTATTATTATTATTATTATTATTGAAAACAATGAATGTTACGCTATGGTGACTTTAAAATAATTTTTTTTTAACACCAAATGACCACAAAAACGAAAAAATTTTCAATTCCTCCCTTTCCTTTCCTTTCCTTTCCTTTCAAATATATTTGAACGGTAGCAAAAGTTTTTTTATGAACGATAGCAAAAAAAAATTATTTATTTATTTTCTTTTCTTTACAGATTTAATCCCATTCAAAATGATTTGAAGTGAAAAATCAATCAATTAAATAAACAAAGAAAGAAGGAAAGATAGAGAGAGAGAGAGATAGAAAGGAAGACAATAAATAAAATAAAAGTGGAAAATGGCGTTGCTCAATAAGATAAGAAGAGATACGAAAAAATCATCTTATTACGTTTGGTTTTTGGGCGCACAAGAAGCCAAAGGACTCCGAGGTTCCGAGTACATCACCCCCGTTTTGAAAAGTTTAATCGAAAGGGAACAAACCGTCGAACCTTTTAAAATAACCCTTCAAGTCAGTCACAAGGGACTCAAAATAATACAAAATTTAAGCACGATAAACGCGAAACAATTTCTAACGAATAAAATCGATGGAAAACAAACGGAACAAAAACCCAACAAAAATGATGTCATTAAACATTTTATACCTCATCATGCCGTTACTTGTGTTCTTCAGGTAATTATAATAATAATAATAATAATAATAATAATAATAATAATAATAATAACAACTACTCGTACGACGACAAAAAAAAAAAGGTGGTCGTATTCGTCGCATTCTATTATTATTATTATTTTTTTTTTTACTTTCTCACTTCACCCGCGTCATCAATTTTAATAATAATAATAATAATAATAATTAAATAAATAACGTTTTTAAAAATTCATTCAATCAATCAATCAATCAATCAATCGGTGAATGAGTGAAATAATAAATAAATAAATTTGGATTGAAAAAAAGAAAAAAGAGAGAGAGAGAGAGAGAGAGAGAGAGAGAGAGAAATTTTTTTTTTAACGAATTACGTTTCGATTTTTAATATTATTATTATTATTAAATCGAACAAAAGGAAAAATAATGATAATGATGATTTTTGTTTTGTTTACGTGTGATAAGCGTTATCACTCGACGAGTTTTCCATACGTTTGTCTTTTACCTAGAAATTTAAAAATTTGTTTTTATTTTTACCGACTACAATTATTTTAATTTAAATTACGCGTTAGAACAAGAACAACAACAAACGGTAATAATAATAATAATAATAATAATTTATTTTATCACGTTCTGATAAGAGAATCAATGCCGAAAAACAAAAAACAAAACAAAACCCGACATTTTTTTTTTTATAATCTAACTAAAAGCGAGTTTGTGTAACTGTATTCAGTGATTCATACAACGAAACGACCGTAAAAAAAAAAAAAATTAAAATCGTGATTTTTTTTTTTCTTTTCTTTCTAGAAAATTCATTTCCCCTCCCCCCCTTACCCCCCCCCGCGAAAAGGAATTCACGGATCCTCCTTCCCCATTTTAGAACAAAACAAATACAACAATTATAATAATAATAATAATACATTTCACGTATCGATGATTTCATTTTAATTTATTAATTAAAAAATTTAATAATAATTATTATTATTATTTTAAAAAGTTTAGAAAGTAAATAATAATAATAATAATAATTATTATTATTATTATTATTAAAAAACGAAAATAATTATTATTATTTATTACTTTTTTTTATTATTATTATTTAGTTTCACGTTTGACTTTGCAAAAAACGGTTGAAATTTTTTCTTTTTTTTTACTTATTTACTTATCATTATTATTATTATTATTATTATTATTATTATTATTATTATTATTATTATTATTGTTGTTGTTGTTGTTGTTGTTGCTTTTGTCGTCGTTTTTACGCTCTGTTTCTGTGCGGGTAATAAAATTTAATTAGGTACTTACAGATAAGAAAGAAAAGAAAAGAAAAAGACAGTAATAAAAATTAAAAAAAAATTTGCGGTTGTCGTTCCTGTTGTGAATCTATCATTATCATTATTATTATCATTATTATTATTATTATTCGAGCCGTTTGTGTGTTTGGATTTGCGAAAAAAAGTATTTGAAATATCATAAAAAAAGAAAAAAAGAAAAAGTCCTTGACGAACACTTGAGATCATCTCGTGGCACCAATGCCAATCCTTTCTCTATAATAAAAGGTCAACCGGAATATTTGGATTGCAACAAACAAAAAGAGAGAGAGAGAGAGAGAGAAAGAATGAATTGCGAATAATAATAATAATAATAATAATAATAATAATAATGATAATGATAATAATGATAATAATAAATTTTTGTTTTTTTTGTTTCTTTGTAGGAAGATGACGTTGTTGCGTGCATATTACTTTTATACAATCCGGTAACGAGATGTCCGGTACACGTACACGGTTACCGATGCGATTCGAAAGAAACGGCAACGTTGCTAACGAATCAATTGACCACGCTCATACTAAGACCGGACAATCAGAAAAAAATGAACGAAATCGAAAGTAGGCTCAAAGCTAAAGGTTTATTGTTACCGACCGTGCCTAGGGTCAACATACCCAAACGACTCAACAGTTCGGGGTCCGAAGGACGAAGCACGACGACGTCACCTGCATCCGAATCATCCGGCGGTTCCGGAGGTGGTTCTCCCGGAGGAGGAGGAGGAGGAGGTACGTCAATTAAAAGAATCCGTTGTTATGAATGGTTGAAAATAATAATAATAATAAAATTGATTAATCGTTTTCAGGTTGTCAAAACGAAAGGATAACCAATTTATACGATTCTCTTGCCGCCGAATTGAGAGAAAAGTTAGGCATGGGCACGGATAGCAAATCGAGTCACGCACCCATACTTTTACCACCCCGGGATTACGATACCGTGCATAGGCAAAAAGGAAATTTGACCGGGATAGAAATGAGAAGGTGTCTAACGGAAAACGTAGTCGGTGAGTGTTTTAAACCCATTCGTTTCTTGCTTTACTACGAAAAGAGAGAAAGAGAGAGAGAGAGAGAGAAGAAAAAGAATGAAAGAAAAAAAGACAGAGAGAGAAGAAAAGAAAGAATGAAAGAAAGAAAGAGAGAGAGAGAGAGAGGTAAAGCTCGAGTTCTTAACAATTAAAATTTTTTTTTTTTTTTTTCCCAACAAACGAAATCTTATAAACTAATCAATTTATTACCGCCTTTTACAAAAAAAAAAAAAATCTCACGTTATCATCATCATCATCATCATCATTATTATTATTATTCCTACAACAAACATTTACGATCTTTGCTCTCGTTAAAATTAAAACTTGTATTTGATTATGCAAACAAATAAATTGTTTTATTTTTGCTAAAATGAATTATTTAACGGTTTTTTTTAAAAAAAGATTTCGAACAATCGAATGCGCGAGTATTCGAGTGAAAAAAAATTTTTTTTTTTCCATTGATAACGATACGAAAATAATAATAATAATAATGATAAAAAACAATAACATTTCATATTAAAATTATACGGGAAAACATGTATAGGAAGTGACGTCACGTTTACCCAAAAAAATAAAAAAAAAACAAAAAACAAAAAGAAAGTAATTGAATAATAATAATAGCGAAGACAATCGCTTTATCGGTTCCGCGGTTTTTTTTTTTTTTTTTGAGAAAAAAAATTTTATTTATTACTACTACTATCATCATCATCATCATCATCATCATTATTATCATCACCATCATTATCATTATTATTATCAATTGTAAAAAGTGATAATCGATTTCGGAAGATTTAAAAAAATTCATTTAAAAAAAAAAATTCACCTTTTAATATTTTTGTCGTAATAAAAACAAAACGGGTAAAGTTGGTGCCACGTTTATTTTAAATTTAATTTTTTTCCCTCCATTTTTTTTTTTTCATCTTCTGACACTTTTCCTGCCTTTTTGTTATTTTTTGTTTTTTTTTTACGTAAAGTTTTTTGCTTTGTAATTTTTCATAACAATAGGAAATGAAAAAAAAAAAATCTTCCAGCGATAATGAGTTATGTTAATAAAAAAATAATAATAATAATAATTCTTACGTAAATTCCAGAAATAATACTGGAAAAAAAAATGTTAAGAAATTTTTTTTTTTTTTTTTTACGACTTCTTTTTCTTCTTTTTACGATGATGATGATGATGATGATGATGATGATGATGATGATGATGAGAACTTTATAAAAAAAATTTTTTGGCGGGATTTTTTTTTCAAAAAAAAAAAAAAAAATTAATTAATTAATTAATAAATTAGGATTACGTCTTACGAAAATTTTAATATAAAAAACACACATCGATATTATTATTATCATTATTATTGTTATTATTATATTGATGAGTTTAACAAAAAAAAAAAAAAAAAAATTATAGGTTTCTCGTAAAAACCAGTTTCTTCTTCTTTTTTTTTTTTTGCACATCAAAAGAAGAAGAACTGATAAAATTCGGGGAGGGGGCGGGGCGGAGGGAGAAGAGAAGAAATTGGAAAACATCCGAATTTGACCACCCCCGTCACTCCCACCGCCTTCTTCGCCATTTTCCGTAGGAAAAATAGTAAAGAAAAGTTTTTCGGGAGGGGGCGTGGCAAAAGACAATTTTCACTAAACAACATCATCGTCTACTTATTCATTTTAATAATAATAATAATATTAATAATAATAATTATTATTATTATTATTATTATTATTAATAAACACGCGGGTTGTTTTTAAAAACTTATAAATGATGATGATGATGATGTTTGCGTCGTCGTCGTAGAAACGAGAGAAGATAAAAAAAAAAAAAAAATTGTATAGAATATGATGAACAATGAATGAGATTTAAATGTTGGATTTGTACGGTTGGCACACTTGCAGAATCTTTTTTTTTTTTTTTTTTTTTTGTGGGACACGCATTGAAAACTCATCTGGGCTAAACATTTACCCGAGGTCATTCATTCTTTCATTTACTTTCTTATTCTTCTTCCACTTTTTTTTTTTTTTTTTTTTTTTTCAAGAGTTAATAATAATTCGTTCATTGACATAAAACTAATTTAAAAAAAAAAAAAAAAGGAGTGACGTTTACAAAAACCCAAATTTTTTTTTTTTATTTACGAGGAAAGTGGAGAGGAAAATGAGAGAGAGGAAATTGAAAATCTTCCTTTCGAATATTTTTTTTTTTTTTAAAACAAAATCCTTTCTAATTACTTTTTAATTTTTTGTTTGTTGTTTGTTATTGTTATTGAAGAGAAATTTATTTTAAAAAAATAAATAAATTTCCCTCCCTCCCCCTCTCTCCGTTTTATTATTTTTTATGGATTAACGAAAAGGAAAAACGAAAAAAAAAAGGGGAAAGTTAAGTTTACTACGTACGTACGAACCTTAACTTATTATTTAAAAAAAAAATAATTTGTTCTAGAAACTTCTATTAATTCTATATTTCGCCCGCGTTATCGATTAAACGTTAATAAATTATTAATAAGTATTTAATAAATTAATTTTTTCTTTTCGTTTGTTTGTTCGCACCGAGAAACTAAAAAAATTTTTTTTTTTTTTTGCCTTTCGTGCAGGTGTACCAACTTGATAAAATTTGGCCGATAGGTAGAAACTTACTTACTCTTTTAAATTACGTAATTTTTAAACAAAAAGCAAAACGAATTATTACGTAAACCGTCCCCCCTCCCCACCCCCAGAAAATAAAAAACAAAAAACCAAAAATTAAATTCTCATTTTTAAATTTCGCGGGTTTTTTTTAGAGGGAGACAAACAAAAAAAAATCGTTTTGCATTTTCTTCCCCCTTTCCTCCCCACCTCCTCGTCACCTTCCCTCTCACTCTCTCCCACTTTAAAAAATGAGTAAAAGTTAAAATAATTACTTTTTTTTAAAAAAACAAAATGGCGTTCGTTTAATTAATTATCATTGCCAAACTTTCGAAACAAAAATTTTTTTCCAACTCCATTTTTTTTTTTTTTAAAGTAATAATCTCGCCAAAAATATATTTTATTTAAAAATTTCACTTCAACACCTGTTTTATAATTTAATAAGAATAAAAATAATATGATGATGATAATAGTAATAATAATAATAATAATTTTTTTACCTGTTAATCGTCTCGAAGGTTACATTTTTACTACCTTGACATTTCCACTTCTCCTCCTCTCCCTCACCTCCCCTCCTCGTACGATTTCAACTCCCGTAATAATTCTGAAAAAGGAAAAAAAAAATTTTTTTTTTTTTATTTAATTTAATAAAAATCTTTTGCTTTCTTCTTTTGCTTTAATTATAGCAAAAAAAAAAAAAAAAGTTTGACGTCTTCTTCCAACATCCGCATTTTTTTTTTTTTTTTTTTTTTTTTAAACAAAGTGAAAGGATATTAACAAATAGGAAAAGTAAAAGGTTTTCCTTTTAATTACAACTTTGTTATAAAAATCTAAAAATAAATTTCATATATAATAATAATATTTACTTTTTCCCCTTATTCCCCCCCCTCTTCCCTTCACCACCACCACCACCGCCCCTTTTCCAAAACATTTTTAATTTTTTTACGTGGAAAACAAAAAAATCAAAACGAAGAGGAGGATTTTTAATACTAACAAAAGAAAGTAAAAAAAAAAAAAAAAGATTAAATCGAAAATAATAATAATAATAATAATAATAATAATAATAATAATAAAGCCAACGGCCATAGCGTGCTGGTCACACCGGTTCCCGTACGATCACCGAAGTTAAGCAGCATCGGGCGTGGTGCAAACTTGGATGAGTGACCGTCTGAGAACGCCACGTGCTGTTGGCTTAAAAGAGCAAAAAAAAAAAAAAAAAAAAAAAAAATGAGAACAAGACAAAGTAAGAACCAAAAAACAAATCTTGTTCTACTGTCGACCTGAGGCAGCTCGACGAGAACGTGAATTTCACTGCTTCTGACCCTGGCCACTCCAAAGATGTTAGTCACCGGAGCCCAGTTCAGGAGACAAATCGTTCCCATCGAAAAAGACGGACTCAGGAAGACCTTCAAGAATTGATGTGGTGCTATCTTATAATAAGTGGCACCACCGAAATTCGAGTATTTGTCCCTAAGGAATCGGGTAGAAACCTCGGATAAATACTTAGAAAACCCCGACAAGTAGCCTTGTCGTGTTTAATGGTGGATAATAATAATAATAATAATAATAATTTTTATTTTTATTACCGACAGTTAATTTTACGGTAATTTTTTTTACATTAATAATAATAATAATAATAATAATAAAGGATTGTTATCTCGTAAACGAAAGGATTGATACCTGATTGTTTAAAGGAGTTTCCCGTTGAAAAAAACTATTTGTTCAATTTTTATCGTTTTGCGCTTTTATAAAATAAATAAATTAATTAATTTTATACGTGTTATTATTATTACTATTATTATTATTATTATTTACCGAGAGTGTGACGACATTTCTGTCTTTTTAGAAAATATTTAGTCTGGTATTTTAAATTTTCCTTTTTTTTTCCGGTGTTTTGCGATTTGAGAAAATTTTTGAAAATTTAAAATTTTATCGTTAGAATTTGTTATTTAAAAACGGTTCTGAACAAACAACAACAACAACAAACGAAATAAGATGAAAAACGTACAAAAGAAAATAAATTGATGCTTTTCGTACGAAATCATTTTTTTTTTTAAATTTTAATGACGTCACATCCGGGTAAAGTGCGTGCACGCAAAAAGATAATCGGAAAATTTATGGATTTTTATTTGTTGTTAATAAATCGTGATAAATTAACGCCCCGATAAATTTTTTTTTCTTTCATATAATGAAACTTTCTCCTCTGGAAAATTATGTCCCCCTTTCATCGTTCTTTCTCCCTCCTTCCCTCCCCCCGTCTCGTAAAAAAAGAAAAATTTTCTCATCGTGGTACACCCGTAGGGCGAACAAAAATTTGTTCGGTATTTTTTTTTTTGTCTTCTGCTTTTCACTTTTTTTTTAATTTGCGAGTGTTTTGCGGGTGCGTTCCAGGTTTCCGTTCGGGAGGGAAGTGAGGGGAAAAGGGGGGGGGGCCATAAGCGTTCCAGGTTTCCATTTCATTTTTAAAAAAATTGTCGTAATGGTCCAAAATTAACGAAACTTGTTTGATTTTTTGTTTGGTTTCGTGACGTCACTCATCAACGGATTTTTTTCACGTGGGAAAATTTTCAAATTCGTTTCCGCTTTGTGTTCCCACACACACCATCTTCCAGAAATTCCAGAAAAATTTTTCCTTGCCATCCTTTTTCATTCATCTCGACGGTTACGATTCCGTTTTTTTTTTTTACAAAAATTTTTCTCGTTTCCAACAACATCCGGCTCGACATTTTATGACTTTCTGTCGCTTTTCCTTAAAATTTTCACGGAAGTTTTTCCAGCATCTTTTCGTTCCAGGCATAATTTTTCGATCCGAATTTTCTTCTTGATTCTTATAAGTGATGCAATTTTTAAAAAATTACCAAACGGAAACATTCGATCATTTTTTTTTTCACTTTTAACCTTTTTATTTTATTAAATTTTTCAAGGTTATTTTAAATCCATTAAATCATCTCCTTCCACGATCAATATTAATAATAATAATAATAATAATAATAATAATAATAATAATAATAATAATAATAATAATAATAATATAACAATTTTAATTTTGTTTTAAAGAGAGAAATCATTTTTTTAACAAAATTAAAATTTTCTTTTTTTTTTCTCTCTCGAATAAATTTCAAATCGTTTCCGTTTTCCTCTCTTTTTCTCCTCCTCTCCGTCCTCCTTCTCCTTCTCCCCACCTTCTTTATTTTTCCACGTTTGATTTTTTCATTTTACGTTTTCCCCGGCATAAAAAAAAAAAATTACGTAACGGTTTGATTTTTTCTTCTGTTTTTTTTGTGTGTGTATAAATATTTTTTCTTTCTAAAAAAAATTTTAATTTATTACCAACAGGTTTTTCAACCTGGTTATTAATTAATTCATTTTTTTTTTATTTTTATTACTCTATGATTTTGCCAAAGACAAAAAAAAAAGCAGAAGAAAAAAAAAATCATTTCGTTAATTAAAAAAAAAACCTCCGAGTGATTTTTTTTCCTTCTTTCTCGATAGTAGTAATTAATAATAATTATTAACTTTTGCAAATTTGTGGTTGTTGTTGTTGTTGTTTGTTGTAGTGATAATAATAATAGTCGTCGTTTTTTTAACATAATTCGACAGTAATAATAATTTGAACGCTTTCACAATTTTAAAAAAGAAACGCAACGACGACTTATTTTTTTTTTTTTAAAAAGTTATTTGGTACAAACAAAAAAAAAAAAAAAAATTAAATACAGTAAAAGCATTTTCATTATAAGTTTTTAAATACTTTTTTTTTTTTTTTTTACTTTCGATTTTTTTGCGATATTTATCGTCGTGACTCTAGAAAACTTAATACGACTGTCATGATGATGATGATGATGATGGTATTAGAAAGTAAAAAAAAAAAAAAAAATGAAACATGGCGAAAAGTTAACCGAAAAAAGAAAATTAGACGGAATTAAAAGAAATTAAAATAATTGTTCTTATCATTATTATTATTATTATCATTTTCAGGTATGAAAAGTAAAAAAGAATCCGTTAAAGACGTCGATAAGAAAAATTTAAAAGGAGGTCCTTTGGGAAGAATACTGGAATCTAGCGGAGGATCCAGCGGGATTGGATCCGATCATCCACCTAGTCCAGATCAAAATGGCCGATACCTTGACAATCAATCAACTTCCGGTAAGTCATAG